GGAAGCCGGCAATTCTTCCATCCATTTCTCCTTTTTCTTGGACATTTAAACCGCTTTTTCATCTTCTTTTTTGCTTTTTTTTTTCTAATTTTTTTCCTTATCATAATTTATCTCTTTCACAACAAAAACTGCAATACGAGTTCAAATTTTCAGAATCATGGCATATTCCCTTCTTCGAAATCGTAAAGCTTCGGCTTTGGTCCTTTCTCGTGTTCTTCAAGGTTCCCCTTTCATTTCCTCTATTTCATTTGCATTGAATATATTTTTGGTTTTTGTTTAATGTTTACACTTTAAAATTGGTTCTTCCCAGTTTTGTAAACAAGTCGGGGCGACTTAAAAGGATTTCCTTTTTTAATTGTTGATACTAGGCACTACAGCTTAGTTGAAATTGAACCTAGTTTTGATGGAACACTGAGTGATTCTATCGAGTTCAATTTGTAGTAAAAAGCTCTTTATCTGTTCTTTGGCTAAATTATTTATATATAATTTTTTTCACTGAATGTAAATCAAGTACAGGACAATTGTTTGTTTATACGATTAATTAATAGAGACATGAGAGGAATATGAATTGTAACTCAACTAACTCTGGGATAAATTTTTTTTAGAACAATTAGTTCCTGGGGAACTGCCTGGTTTAATTGAATTTTAAAAAAGAAAATTTCAATTTTCAAATTGTATTTTCTTTTTTTTTTTTTTTCATTTTCTTATTTCACGAGTAATTGGTGTTAGTTTCTCATAGCTGTTGCACATAAATGGAAAAAGAATGCTCTAATCTGTTGAACAAAGTAGAATTTTGATTTGATCAGTTACTTCTAACTTAAACAGGTTCTGTTTTTACTGCATTGTGTGCTATTAACAGTCTGTTTAGTTGATTTCTTACTTAGTTCCTGGTTCTAAATTAGTAAGTTGGAATTAAATTTCTCATGGACAAATATTTTCGAGGTGGGTTTGGGATAACTCAAAAGACAAAAATTCATCTTGTGGTAATGTACATCAAAACTAATATAACTAGTTGTTGACTAGGAATTGAATGTGAAATGAACTAAATTTAATGTAATATTTAAATGAAAAGTCCTTTATCTATGTGATGATCAGTGGTTATGGCGCATGCTAATGATGTCCAGCTATTTTTTCCTATGATCTACTCACACTCTCCTACAAATCTATCAGGGAATATCATTAACTTGATGAATTTGCAACTGGAGTTCAAAATTGGATATGCTGCCAGTGTCAATATCACAATAAGGAAATACAGCAGTGGCTGTGGCACCAGAAAGTTTGATTTTTTGGATCTGACGTAAGAGATATTTGGATGAGTATTATTAAAATTAGCTTTTACGTTGGATATGCAATCTTTTGGAATCCAAATATTATATATGGTTACAACATTATGAACCTGTTGGATTTAAGGATATAGCCTCTGCTTCATTATGGATTGAAGGATAATCTTACTGCCCTATTCTGTGGTTCATATTGGTTTCAAATTTTTTGCTTTATATGACTATTGTTTGTTTGCTGGTTGGATTTTCTCTCACAAGATTTTCTGTCTAATCTCATATTTGGTTCGCTATTTCTTGAGCTTGGAAAATTGTTTTCATTTTGAATGAATGGATTTAAATATAAGATTTTCTTCTCCTTTCTTTGTGTAGTTCCAACAAATTTCCTCCCTCCCAGCCAACTTTTTTTTTTTTTCAAGTTGATAGTTCTTGCTTTAGAGACAACGCATGAACTGCCTTCTTAATGTTTTCCTTGTAAAAGAATCCTATTTAATTGCAGTTGTCCTCATACGTGGTATCCAAATGCTCGGAGGAAGAATCGCAAGATTATATTGCATGTAGGTCCAACAAACAGTGGTAAAACACACAATGCTCTAAAGCAATTGGAATTAAGTACTTCAGGTATGCCATGAATTCTAATTGTATGACCACCTTCATAATTTGTTGATCTCATTTATTACATAAAAATAAGGAATGTGAGAAATCAAGCAATTCCTGCAATTAAACTCTTCCAAATTCAGTTTTGGTTTTGTCACCCTGCAGGTATATATTGTGGTCCATTGAGATTGTTGGCATGGGAAGTTGCAAAACGGTTGAACAAGGCAAAAGTTTCTTGTGATTTAATAACAGGTCAGGAGAGAGAACAAGTTGATGGTGCAAAGCACAAGGCGGTGACAGTTGAAATGGCTGATGTCATCTCCACTTATCATTGTGCAGTCATCGACGAGATCCAGGCAAGTGTCTTATTTCATAAAGTACATTACACCATTTTTTGTAAGTTTATAGGAACTACTGTCGTTTATTAAATGTGATTTTTATGTTTGGTAGAAATATGAAATTACTGATACCTTTGAAGTATTATCTCATTTATTACTACCTTGAAATGGAAATTTGCACTCTTTTCATAAGCTTAGCATAATTAAAATTTTAACCTGGTACTGAGCTTTCTGCAATGATTTGCCCAAAGCCATATAAATTTTATAGAAGCTAAAAATGATAACAGTGTGAAGTAGTTAATCTACTTGAGTTAGTCCTGGGGGTAAAAATTCGATAACTGGTCCAAACCATATTACTAAACTGTTCCGAGTTGATATTTTTGGTTTTAGTTTGAAATTTTAGAAAATCTCAGTTTATATTAGAATATTTAAACTTTAATTAAGATTCCCTTAATGTTAGGTTGTGTACTTGAATTCATTTTAAAAATTTAATATTGATTGATGAATTTTAATTTATAGATTATGAATGTTTAAAAAATATTTGATTTATTATTATAAATAAAATATGACAAAACTGATATATATTTGTTAAATTTAACTTTATTTTTTAATTAGTTTGATTTAGTTAGTTGATGGTTAACTGCAAAAAATGTGGTTCAATTGCAGTTTGGCATATGGTCAAACTACAAGGTTCAGTTTGTAGTTTTTGCAGAAAGAGTGGTTAACAAAACCATGCACACACCTAACTAGTGAATATATTTTTTTTTCTCTTCTTTCACTTGAGTTTTACAAGTTACAACTATAGGGCTGCAGAAAGAATTGCTTTTTCTCTTATTAAGATCTACGTCCCCCTTATTTTTTATTTGATTTTTGTAGGAGTGGAGTAGAAAATTTGCCTCATCAGCCTTTTGCTAGTCAATAACGCAAGATACCCTGAGAAGATGCATTGTCACTGATTTTTGCTCTCAAATATGTCTGTGGGTGGATCCTTAATCGGCTTGAAATAAACTACTGGCATTCCTGAAAATTTTTTAGTGTCCCCTTAAAAAATCATGCTTAGTCTCGTAGACCTGTGATTTTGTACTCCCAGGAGGAATTATCTGCATGAAGTTCAACTGGGGCTTGAGGCATCAATGATATGAATTCATTATCTTAGTCTTTTTTGTTTTGCAATTAGTTATTCATTTTGATGGAAAAACTTCATGCTCTAGCCTTAATCGTACTCATATTGTACAAAAGCGAACTGTTTAGGGTTTATAACAACATGCAAGAGGGGGAAACAAAAATGGTTGACTATTAGGACCCTTACCCTGTCTAGCTGTCGGCTGTTCAGGCTGTTTCAATCTCCAGGCATGCTGGAGGTTACACACTCCCTTTTCCGCCATTGTAGCCTATAAATAGGCATGAGTTGAGATGAATAAAGGCATCGAATTAATCATTGCCTCCAAGTGAATGCTCTTTCTCTCTCTTGTTTGATTTTTCCTCTTCTTTCTCTTTGTTTTCCTTAGTTAGAGCCTTGAGTAAGGCTTTTTGATAAGATGGTATCATAGCCATCGGAGTGACCGAAATTATGCATTGGTTGCCTCATGCACTAGGTCCAAAGGAAAGGTTGTGGTGGCAGATCCCAAAAAAGTAGTGGTTGTTTGAAATCACAATAGAGGATGTTGACTAGTGCTTGATTGATTGTATGATGAAAGTTTGTGAGATGTAGTGGCAATTTGGAAAACAACTAAATGTGATTGTGGAGATGCTTTACGACAGGTCCCCCTTCAGTAACGCACCGAAACCCTCAGCATGTGATGCTTTTGGGAGAAGATGAATTCTTTCCTCTTAGCTTCTATGTGAGCAGGTTGAAAGGAGAACTTTCAACCCGGATAAAACAACAGGACTAAAACAGATCTGAGGCTTTGAACCGAATCGGTTCACTTGCTCCTTTGAACGGAACCAGTTCAGGTGGAAATTCCATTACTTGAAGGAGTTAAACCCTGCGCATGGATAAGGAGATGCAATCGGTATTTTTTGGTGTACAACATCCTCGATGAGTAAAAAGTGGAAGTGACATCCCTCTTCTTAGAAGTTGTAGATGTGTGGTACTAAAGGTAGTTGACGAAAAATAATGAGCTAGAGTGATAATATTTCATGGAGGAGTTTTGCCGAAGATTTGGAGGCTCTTCGAGAAAGAATTTTACAGAAGAATTTAATAAATTGACACAAACTAGAATTAATCTAGAATATGAAGAATGTTTCAGGCATTTGCGTGCCTTAATGAACATAGACAATTCCACTGTCTCGGATAAATTTTTTATCATCAATTTCAACAGTGGTCTCCAACTGATACTGCAACCAATGATAAGATTGCTCAGACCCCGCACACTTAACGAAGCCTTTGAGTAAGCTCTTTTTCAAGAGCAATCTATAATTGAAATGCCCAAAATTTTATATTTCACTGAAAAGATTTCCTACTCATTTGAACGTATGAGGATGATGACAATCCGTATCTCCAAATGTGCTTCCAAATACATGGGGTGAGAAACAGAGATTAAGAAATCAACGACATTATGCTACAAAAGTGGTGCGTGTTATATCCCAGGTTACTGTTGCCAAAATAAAATCATGATGGCAGTAGTGGAAGTCTTCAACCAAGAAGACATGGTGGAAAAAGTGCTCGACGAGGAGGCCATCGATGAAGAAGAAAATCCAATAGATATCTTATCCATATAGACAATAGGAGTCACTCCAGGCAGCATCCTTAAAATCAGAGGAACACTAGCCAGCCATGATGTGTTGGTCTTGTTGGACAGTGGAAATTTATACTCATTCTTGGATAAAGGTGTTGCCATAAGAATTAAAAGTCAAGTTGGCAGCAATAAACTACTTATGTTGATGGAAGCAAATGGATAACGAATTGCTAGCATTATTGAATGCCCAAAGGTTACTTGGATAATGTGAGGATACAAGTTTGATTACAACTTTCGTGTAATTCAACTTGGCGGTTATGACATGATACTGGGAGTTGACTGGATGAAACAATTTGGCTCCTTAATATTTGATTTTTTCCAAGCCACCATCAAGTTCCATTATAGCAACTAAGTCATAGTACTTTCAAGGGAGTGACACTAGTGGAAATCATCTACCAACATGAAAGAGACCACTTCCATGCAATGAGGAAAGCAAGAATATAGTATGGAAGGAGGGACCGTTTTTCTGGTCATGGAGATTGGCCTAGAAACCCGAGCCACTATAAACCACATGGGGACCTTAGAGTCCTTATTGGACTAATATAAGGATGTGTTCAAGGAGTCTCGAGGATTGCCTACACTTAAGGAATTCGACCATGCCATATCATTAATCAAAGAAGATGCAACATTTAACATATGTCCTTATAGGTACTCTTTCGTCTAGAAGAATGAAATATAAAAGCAGGTAGAGAAGATGCTACAGGAATCAATCACTCACCTAGTTTTAGTCCATTCTCATCACCAGTTTTGCTGGTAAAGAAAAGGATGGAATATGGAGATTTTATATAGATTACAGGAAACTCAACTCACTGACTATGAAAGATAAATTCTCTATTTCAGTTATTGATGATTTACTTGATGAGTTATATGGTGCTTCTATTTCTTCCAAGCTTGATCTTGGAGTAAGGTGTCACTAGATTCGTGTTAAGAAAGAAGATACTCACAAACAGGCCTTCAGTCACATTAGGGCCATTATTAATTCAAGATGAATCCTTTCAGTCTCACTAATACCCCAACCACTTTTCAGGTTCTCATGAATTATATCTTTAAAGATTTCCTTTGAAAATTTGTCATTGTCTTCTTCAATGACATCCTTATCTACAGTTTTAGCAGACAAAAGCACTTCGTTCAACTTGAAAAAATACTTAAGATATTGTGAAGAAACAAATTTTACGCAAAAAAAATCCAAATGCTACTTCCTACAAACTAAAGTAGAATATTTGAGACATGTTATCTCTCAACAAAGGGTACAAACAGAATCAAAATAAATTGAAGTCATGATCAATTGGTCATCTCCATAAACTCTCAAAGCTTGCAAGGGATTATAGGCTTAATAGGCTACTATCGCAAATTCATAAAGTAATACGAGATCATTGCTTAACCTCTTATAGACTTGTCGAAGAAAGGGGCATTCCAGTGGAACCCCACTACCAAACAAGCTTTCCAATAATTAAAAAGAGCAATAACTTCTAGCCCCATATTGGGACTCCCAAAATTTGGTGACCCATTCATCATAGTATATGTCAGACAAGGGAATCGGAGCAGTCTTGATACAAGAAGGTGAATCGATAGCCTTTATAAGTAAGGCCTTGAGTTTTAGAAACCAAACCAAATTCGTGGCTGTTTAATATGCGGTTTTCTAGTGGCGCTATTATTTGGAAGGAGTTTCATTCATCATTCGCATCGATTACTGCACCTCAAATATTTATTGGATCAGAAAGTGTCTTTGATGATCCAATAAAAAGACATTATGAAATTACTGGATTCAATTTCATCATTTAATATAAACAAGGTTTGACCAACGTAGTCCCGGATGCCTTGTGCATAAGTGAACATGAAGATTCCACTGCAAAGATTCTCTACACAGTCACTGTTACTACCCCTGCTTGGATGTGTGAGGTGTCCAAAAGCTACCCTAGTGACTCTTTCATGCAACAACTAATCACAGAGCTCATGATATCTTTGCAAAGCAAGCTGCCATTTCATATTTCTAACATACCCCTGTGATACGAAGGAAGACTGGTCATAGGCAACAATGAAGGACTACGACACCAAATCCTTTATCAATACAACAACTCATCCATAGGAGATCACTCAAGTATCGAGGCCGTTTATGAACGAGTCAAGCAACATTTCTGTTGGCCCAATATAAAGAAACAGATTACTTAGTAGGTATAACAATGTGACACTTAACAACATTGCTGAGTTGAAAAATTTTTCATTTTGGGATCTTACAACCACTACCCATACTGATGCGGAACCAAAGATCAACCAGCGTAATTAGGAACTCACATAATTTCATTCAAGACACCAAAGGAATTTGATCATATGAAAATCCTTCCAACTTAATCATCTATCAAGAATAATAGGAACTAAAATAATTAGAAAATGAAGAATTAAAAGAAGAATGAAAAAACGTCACAAGAAATTATTTTGATAAGTAGATCCACTCCTTACTCAATAAGAAGGATGAAGACACTTTTTTTGAATAACACTCACAATATTATTGATTTCAATCTTAAATCCTTATAATGAAAACTTGATAACCTATTTATAAGATAGGTCATATGAATAAAATGATAATAAAAATTTTCTAATTAAAATTGTAATTGCATAAGAAATTAATTAAAAATAAAATATAAATTCCTAACTAGATGCAATTACATAGGAAATTAATTAAAATTAAAGTCTAAATTTCTAATTATGATAGATATAGTTTTCTCCCTTTTCTTGGTCAATTACTTTATTTTCTTACCCATTTTCATTATGTGCTTGAAGATAGTTGATAAAACCATTATACCCTTAGATTAATTGGCTGGGTAACTTATTTTCTTGGGTTTCTTTAGTGGATGTAGACCCATCTTCCTCATTAATCCAAGATTGGATAAAGAGTTGGAAAGCTTGTCGTAATCCTTGGGTCTAACTCCTTGTTATGGGCCCACTTGGCATGATAATTTCTCTTTCATGTGGCCCAAGATGATCCATGCTCACATTACATACATTCTCAAGTATGGACTCAAATATTAATTGATTTTATTGAAACAACTGCCAGATCCGAGAAGAAACACACTAGTATGGTGGTAGTGGATCGGTTCACTAAGCATAGATATTTCATTATTTTACACCATCCCTTTGCGGCTTAGGAATAGCTTGCCTTTATATAAAGACTATTCACAAGTTTCATGGAGTACCATAAGTCATAGTATCTGATATGGACACCTTATTCACTAGCCTTTTTTTGAAAGAACTAATGAGAGCAATAGGAACTAGTCTTGATTTTAGTATTGCCTATCACCCTCAAACAGATGGCTAGATAGAGCAACTCAATTAATGTCTAGAAATGCATCTCTGATGTGTGACCCATAGCCAGTCAAAAACACGGGTAAAATGGTTATCTGCTGTTTAAGTAGTGGTATAACATGGCCTACCATACAAGTCTCGATATGAATCCTTTCTAAGCACCCTACGGGTATATTCCTCCACATTTCTTATATTTTGTTAACCCGTTACTTGCTTCACTATCAGTTGAAAAAATATTTGGTGAATGAGAAAATACTAATTTGATGATCAAACAACAACACTTAAAGGCTCAATCTAGAACCAAACAGTATGCAGACAATCATTGAAGTGAACAAAGTTTTAAGACTCAAGAATAAGTACTCCTCAAACTTCAGTCATTCAAGTAAGTATCAATACGACAAGGTGGAGGCTCTAGACTATCATCCAGCTTCTATGGTCCCTCTCAGATAATACAGAAGGTTGGTGTGGTGGCTTACAAGCTTCAACTTCCCCCTTCATCCCGAATCCACCCAGTGTTCCACGTGTCATCACTCAAGAAGTACATCAAGGGGAGAGACATGGTGAAAGAAGACTTACTGATGATGCAGGAGAAAGTGTACTAAGTGTTCAACCTCAACAAATACTAGAACAGTAGTCATTCTACAAGGAACACTTCTTATAAAACAAGTTTTCATACAGTGGGAAGACACTCCACCAGAAGAATGTACTTTGAAAGATCATAAATATATCTAGTGACAATTTTCAAACTCAACCTTGGCTAGAATGTTGATGCTCAAGGGGAGGGTATTATAAGCCAACCACTGTGGGTTTATTATAGGAGGGTAAAATGGGAAAAGATAACACTGGGTAAAAAAGACAAATTGTACAACAGTAAGTTAGTCTTTTCCATTGTAACTACATGCAAGTAGGAGATTGGAGAAACAGAAATGGTTGACGATCAGGATCCTTACCCTATCTAGTTGTTGGCCATTCAAGTAGTTGCAGCTTCCAGGCGCACCTGGAGGTTACACGCTCCCTTTTCTGCCAGTGTAGTCTGTGAATAAGCATGATTTGAGTTGAATAAAGGCATCAAAAAGCATTACATCTAAGTGAATTCTCTTTCTCTCTTGTTGACTTTTCCTCTTCCTTCTCTCTGTTTTCATTAGGTTAGAGCCTTAAGTAAGGCGTTTGACATCGCATAACATTTTCTTATGATAGCATTACCAATCTTATTATGAAATCTAAAGAACGTTAATTTACGTTGTGAAACCCAGAATTAGATTTTGGTTTTATTTAAGTTATTATTTTGCTTCATGCTACCAATCCTTCTTATTAGTTGTAATATTTTTCTCCCATTCAGATGATAGGTTGTAAGACAAGGGGTTCTTCGTTTACCCGTGCTTTATTGGGAATTTCAGCTGATGAAATCCATCTTTGTGGAGATCCAGCTGCTGTTCCTCTTATTCAGGATATTCTGAAAGAGACTGGGGATGATGTCCAGGTATGTAATTGTTTGTAGTGGAACCTGCTCTTCGTATTTTAGCCTAAAAGATGAGTGTCTTTGCAACTTTATTTTCCGAGTGGATCAGATCTTATTGTTCCATTCTTTGGAAGAATACATAATTACATATGAGTGTTATTTTTGGTGCTGATTGTGGCTTATTTTTGGTCTGTCTATCTGCATTTCATTGTGATATAAACCATTCTGTATTTTCTGGAATCTCAGGTTCATTCGTATGACAGACTTTCACCCCTAGTTCCATTGAAAGTTCCTCTTGGATCCTTTTCTAATATAAAGACCGGGGACTGCATTGTAACCTTTTCACGTCATGAGATATATAAATTCAAAGTAAGTGATTGCTTTCATCTTCTTTCTCATTTTCCTATTTTTATTATTCTCTTTTTCTCCTTCCCGCTTTCTATAGTTATGTTTTGTATTATAATTCTTTTTTGTATCATAATATCCCTATGGTGAAGATATATACATGTTCAGAAGCCAGAACCGTCTCTAATTTATGCAAAACATAATATATTGTGCTGGTTCAAATATTCTACTTTTATAGAATTCCTATATCTTATTTGATATTTACAAGTTAGCCATAATTTACATATTTAATTCATAATTGAATCGATTCTATTTATCTCTTCAATCCTCACTTATTGAGGAAAAAATTACAAAATTGCATGACTTGAATTGGACATCATATTGGTTTCTAATTAGAATTTAGTTTCTTTAAAATTTCAATCTACATGGTATCATCTTATTTGATGAAATTGAAATTTGAATAAAACTCAACCTAAAAGATTTTCGAGTTTTGGAATCTCTTTTTTGTCTTTGTTCACCTGCTTGTATGTGCACTCTGCCTTCATGGGAGTAAAAAAATAATGTTTAGGGTTCTATTATCAATATTGTGAATTAGAAAGTTTGTCATAGAGAATACAGGCTTTTTTATTAAAGGAATTTCTTTATCTAACTCTTGATTTTTTTCTTACGGATTCTGTTAATATAGCATGCCTCCGATCCAATTTTTTTTGGTTCTAGACTAACTTCCCTTGGTGCATTTGCATCTTCTGTTTTCACTAGAAACATAT